TTATTCATCCTTGCATTATCACTGCCGATATTTGAATATGTTACATGATAATTATGTTACAATGAGTTACGAGTTTTTATGACATGTTACTGAGCCAGCTTAGATTAAAATTAAACCATGTAGTCTTTGACTACTAGTCCAATTTACTTTGAATCTGACTAGTTTGAATTTGACTGTTCTTGTTCAATTGGATCACCATAAACTGTAGTTGAGTTTGCTAGCATAAGAACATGGCTTTATCTTCTGAAGTCTTTTTAGATAAGAGGTTTATTTAAACCTTTATCTGACTTTGTAGTTACTTTCAGGCATAGCGATAATTTGCTTCATGTTTGTCAGGGGTTTTGGACTATTTAACTTTTATCAGATCAAGTAAAACCTCATAGGTATGTAGTCGAGAGATTAACAAGATAGGAAGATAAGGCACACAGGAACTGGTGGGACTATTGATTTGCATATTGAAACACATTTTTAATTGTTAGAAAAGATGCTTAAAGAGAAGGAAATTGATATAAATTAGCCAGAATGTTTAGAGAAGCTTCATATTAAGAAGATGCAGAAATGTTTTGTTGAGTATTGTTGTTACAAAATGTAAATGTTTTGTAGCTTTTAATGTGTAGTTATCTTAATATCGTTTATGAATCAGTGTCATAAATTGCATATATTTTAAACTGTGATATGTTAATAGATTGCGATTTCAATAGTGCTTGTTTAACATGTATTTTTAAAAAATAAATGTAGCAGTGGCCATGTAAATCTATAATGACTAAGAGTATCTAACTACCTAATTTAATTATTTGTAACTAACTGATCACCTTTAAAGGTTATCTCTGCATATTAAAGTCAGTTATTGCTTTTCTCTAATCTTTGCCATGGTCACAAGATACAGCACAAAAATGTGAAAATTAATGTAAAACTTAAATTCTTTGCATTTGATGAGACTTAAAATAATACAGAACAATTTATCACATCTAGTGGCTTCTTGGAACCTTAAAATATATTAATTGGGTTACAACCCTAGGAGCTCTATAATGAAGTTATGACACTAACTGTGTCAAACAGGCTGAGCACAACTAACTTTCAAAACTTGCCAACTGTGAAAATTTCACAAATGTGAAATTCGGGCATTGTCTTTAATTTAATTTATATCAGGTTTTCTGGTCTGTCTGATCAGCAGGCCTTCTCTAGCAGCAGTGGCAACAGCCAGTCTTCTGTAAAGGAATCATGCTGATTATGATTTTACTTCTTATTTTAACCTATGCTATTTGATATAAAATCTACTTGCTGAACCTCTAAACTGAGTAAGTGCATGTCAAAATGAGACATGAAAGAGAAAATCAACATAAAGCTAACTGTTAGTAAAACATAAATAAAATGCCACTAATCTTCTTTCAAATATGTCCAGCTGATACAAGGCTAAAATATTTAGTGCTATCTGATACATTTTTTAAAGTTGATTTTATTCTCAAATTTGTTTTATAATTAAGTTTAATATTAATGCATTTACTTGTGGATCTATTTTATTCTTGGATGGTATCACAAATGGGAAATTCGGGCATTGTCTTTAATTGAATTTATTCAGCTCTAATTTGTTGATGGGTCCTTAATTTTTTTCATTAATGGTCTGTAAATGTACGTAATTTTCATGTGAAGAAATTTGCACGACACCCCTGTACTAAGCTAGTTGCAGCTAAACTTCAGGCAGCGGAAACGAAGATTGGTTTGTGCAAATTGAATTGTTTATGTTATTGTTAATGATAAGTTGACTACTCAAAGTGAGTCAAAATGTTTGGATTAACATGTATAATAAGCTGCCTATAAGTAAAAAATTATGAGAATCAGTGATCAGTATATTTTGCAGGGGTATATAAGATAGTTGAGTGATATCTTGCTAGATATATAGAATATTTATCAATCTACTTTATTAAGAGCTTTAGTACTTTTGAAAAAGATGGTTTATACACATGAAAGCAGATTCTTTTGCTCGTAGAAAATATAGAAAAGTAAAATAGAAACAAAATTTCACATAGATACCTTAAAAGCACGTTTTACATTGCTGCCAAACTGCATTAAAATGGTATTCAGAATAACAGATTCATTTTTTCTATAAAAATTATATTTTCATTTTTGAAATCATATACATGGGCAATTAATATACAGGTTTAGCACAAATGATTCATTTGCTTTGGAAAGGCTATATTTTCAAAAGTATTTTATATACATGCATGAAAGATATATGAAAAGAACCACAAGCTCACAAATATTCAGTATGTGCCCCTTTGGTGACATGATATACATCTAAATGATAGAGCTCATTCCATACATTTTGTAGCACTGTTGTCAGATGTTCATTCTGTCAATTGATTAGATGTTCAGAATACCACAAAAAGCTGTATGGAAGATTTTGTGTCAACAGTTGCATTTCAAATCGTAGCATGTGTAGCTTTTGCAACAATTAAAGCCAGAGGATTATGCCCGTCAACTAGATTTTTGCATCAACATTGGAGGATGAAGATTTCGCTTCCAAGATGATATTCTGTTATGAAGCAATGTTCCACTTATCCAGGAAACTTAGTAAAATAGTGAAAACCACTTGGTGAATTTGTGGTTCTTTCCATATATTTTTCATCTGCATGCCCATAATACTTTTCAAAATGAAGGAATCATTTATGCTAACCCTGTATTTTGCTTAAATAGTACAGTTTTACTATATTCAATTCTATAAGATCCCATTTATCCATTTTTATTGAATGGCCCAGAAAATCCTGTCTTGTTTTTAATGTTAAGATTGCCTTTTTTCTTTGAAAAATGTGGACATAGTTTTACATATGATAATATTATTAAGATTATCTCACTTAAGACTTTCCCCCTTATTTATCATATAACCGTATAAATATTTTTCTATTTTATTTTGTCTTTGTGTGTCAGGTGTTGAAATTTCTTTAAAATGTCATTATTAGACATAACAGAGAGGCTCAGATTGTTTTCAGTATTATAAATTTGTTATGTATTTCAAAGATTTTCATGTACCACTGACTGTTTCAATGTTATGGCTATTATTTTATTTTTGCTAAACATGATAAAAAGTGGAAATATAATGTAATTTATATATTCTTTTCTTGTGTGTGTAGTTGCCTAATACCTTTTACAACTTGTTTGAAAGTACTTTTTTTATTTAACAGTATATTAATTTGCTGTGTTACCTTTTTAATTCCTTTTTTTCTTCTACTTGGCTGTCAAAGTGTGTGAAAAATATGTATGTGACATACACTGAGGAACCAAAACATTATGACCATTCCCAGATTTTTCAATAATCATGACTAGATGGTGTGGAAAACACGTGTTTAAGTGGGAATGGTATTTAACTGCTGCTGGAGACGGTAAGAAATCCTTCTTGCACTTAGTTTTGTAAGTGATGGGAAAGGCTGCTGATGTAAGCAGATTTGATAGAGGGCAGATTGTAATGGCCTGAAGACTCTGAACAAGCATCTCCAAAACCGCATGACTGGAAGATTGTTCATGATCTGTTGTTGTTAGTATTTATGCAAAGTGGATAAGTGACAGTGAAACAAGCAGTAGAGGCAAAGTTGATGTACATCCACTCGTCACCAAAGAAAAAGGACATTGGGGACTACACTACTTGATACAACAAAATCGACACCAGACAGTGGCTCAGCTGACAGTTCAATACAATACAGGCCCAAGTGCAAATGTTTCAGAACACACAGTTGGATATGGGACTGCACAACAAACCTAACATTCATGTTGCATTGTCAACTACTCATACAGTGAGCCTGGGAACATGGAGACGGGACCATGGATAAATGGAAGACAGTTGGCCTAGTCGAATGAATCATGATTTCTCATTCATCACTTTGATTTTTGTGTCAGGGTATATCATATTCCAGGTGAACAGTTGCTCTCCCCATACAGCAGTTCATACACAGGCTGGTGGTGATGGTATTATGCTTTAATGCAGGGTTTCTTAAACAGGGGCTGCAGGACCTGCAGCAGGGGGTCGCCAAAAATCTTAGCAGTTTTGATATTTCTTTAACTTATAATAATAATTTTACAAACCAAATATTTTTACACAATATATCTGGAAATAGATAAAGACAATACAAACAAAGAAGAAAATGAAAACCAGAGATGCATTCTTGATATTTGATATTTGATGCATTCTTTTTATAACATAAAAGTTCAATTTCCTTGCTTTGCATGTGATGCTGTCATTTTGTCTGTTACTTATTTAAAATTTGTGCATTGTTCTATGTTCTAAAATTAGAAATTAAATATAATGACCTAAAACTGCAATAGTATATTACAGTACAAGTGAAAAAGTTGACAGTTTCCCTCACGCATGTGTCGGATTTGCACAATACTTATGAGACCCATAAAATTTTTGTAAGTATTATGGGGTCCTGGGGGTCGCGAAAAAATCTCAATGATAGAAAGGGATCACGACTGAAAAACGTTTAAGAAACCATGCTTTTGGGGATGTTCTCATGGGAAGCTCTGGGACCCTTAGTTGTGGTAGAACAAATCATAAAAGCTGCAGTCTATCTGAACATAATTGCAGATCAATGGCATCTCTCTTCCCAACTGGAAACGGAATTTTCCAGCAGGACAATGCCCTATGTGACAAGGCTGGAATTATGTTGGATTAGTTCAAGGAACATAAGGATGAATTCTGGTTAATGTAAGCTAACTTACCATATTGTAACCTGATAGAGCACGTTTGGAATGTCATGGCACGGCAGCTCAGAGCTCACACACTACCATGTTGGAATATCTTGACTTTGACTGCTGCTTAGACATTCGGTACAAGCTGTCTCCAGTCATCTGCCAAGAACTTGTGTCATCCATGCCAAGGGGAACTGCAGCTGTTTTGCAGGCCAGAGATCATGCAATACATTTTTAAGTACGTGGTCATAATGTTTTTCCTCTTCAGTGTATATTTTTTTCTGCTACAAAGCTTAATTAAAAACATTTCTTTTCTGTAGGATGTCTTTGTTGTCCCACTTATTTGTGCATGCTGTCAATCTATATGTAAGTTATATTTTTGCTCTGCGTTCCTTTTTAGTTTTTTAATTCCATTACATATTCCTTGAAAAGCTATTAGTTTTATTTGATTGCTGCGTGAAAGCTTGAATTAAATCTAAGTCATACTGAACTTGTTTACATATCTGTTGTTATTTTATGCTTAGCTGTTTTCTTGTTATTTAAGAAAGAAAAAAATCACTTAATTTGACAACAAATTTCAGCCAATAAAAGGCAGCAATAAGTGGTGCTAAAATTATTAGATAGTCAATTTATACTGTATTTTAGCCTTATATATACAGGAGTGTTTATTAAAAAATTTTTTTTTGGCATTTGTGCCATTTCAATTTGAATTTTAAATCAAGATATCAAATTAGATTAAATTTTAGAGCATTAACAAGCTAATACAGCAAGTTTTATGATGATAAAAGCAATAGGTCATAGCTTAACACTTGAGTCATGTGGCATCCATTAATCATTAGGTACATGCCAACAGAGTGAACACAGGTAATGTGCTTCTTATTATTGATTTTCAGAAAACGTGAAAGAAAATTATATACTTTATATTAGACGTTAATAGTGTATTTGTGTATAATTAAGAAAACACATTACTTACCATTTATGAAATGCCACAGTAAAAATTAATTGTTAAAGTAAGTATATAAATTATAAATAACAAAGCTTCAAATTGCTCAGGATACATACTGTTGGCCATTAAAATTGCTGCACCAGAAAGAAAATCAAACAGCAAAATATTATGTATTCTACATATATGATATCACGGGCAGAGAACATGATTAAGTTTGTAAATGGTTTTGAATACACGGCATGCAAAATTCAGTACACAGATTTGCCACCTCTGGCAGCAAAATTGGCTGTAATCTGGCTAGGCATTGAGTGAAACTGAGTTTGGATGACATATATGGGTACTTCATTCCATGCATTTTCAACTCTATGTCAGTGTTCATCAACTGTTTTGGCTGCAGAGTAGTGCCATGCCAATCTCTCGGCTATGAAGTCCATTACCAGATGGCCCCTCTGGGGTAGAGATCTGGAGAATATGTTAGCCAAGGCAAAAATCCAACACCATCTGTATTGGAAAAGGTCAGACAGCACAGGCAAATGTGGTCATGCATTGTCTTGGTGAAAGAGGGCATCACACACATCTTAAAAATAAGGTGCAGCAATGGGTCTTAACACACTTGATATGTGTTAACAGCTATTCATATTACTAGCTATGTGAACAAGAGGTGACTGGGGGGGCCTGTATGACAATGGTGAATTCAAGATGGGAATGTTCGCTTTCCACAATGCCTCCACACACGGATGCATCCATCATAAAGTTGCATGTGGAATTCCGAATAGTCTGAAAACACAAATCTTTATAGACACTCTTAAGCTTTATTAATAAGAAATGTTAAAAAATAATAATTAAAAAAAAAGCTATTACAGGCAAAAGTCTTTAATTCGGACACCCATAATCTGGACCTCAAAACTAAAAACTTTCTGCGCATGCGCCTCGTTGACACATGCTCATAGGCGTTTACGCATGCACGTAAGACCTTTATGACTGCTCATATGCATGTGCGCAAGCGCAGAATATGTTTTCGCGTGCGCGTTTTATGTATAACGGATGGTATAAGCTAAAATTATCTAATTATCTATTTCAGTTAATGTTGATGATTGGGTTGTTCCTTAATCTTCGAATTAGATCCGGCTTATTATTTTTTGCAGACTGTAAGAGCAATTTTATCAAACTTGAACTTTCGATTATGTCAAATAGAATTTCCGATGCTGGAGCTCCCAAAGGATCTACAAAACGAAAGTACATTTCGATGTCTATCAAACAAAAAGTGGAATTGCTGCAAAAAATGGATAAAGATATGAAGAAGGTGACAGAGAGGTTAGTGAAAACGAAAAAATTTCGATTGACTAGTTAGTCGGTATTCTCGGCACAGCGATTACGGGACTTGAACAGCAGAACTTTGTAACTGAACAAGAAATTATGTCTGTTTATAGAATTAAAGAGAAAGTATTATCACATAAAACGAAGCAACTTGAACAACTTACATTGAAAGAAATGTTTAATAAAGTAAACAAATAAATATTAAGCTTTTTTTTTTTTTTTTTGTAAATTTTGATACCCTTTAGATCATAATTGTTCTTTATTTCATAAATTACGGTTTCATATTTTTAATTTTAGAATTTTGACTGTATTTCATTAGGTATAAAATCCCTGATCTATTTTAATATATACTGATAAATGATGACCCTACTGAGAAATGTTGAGTTCAAACTATTGTAATTAATAAAAATAAATTTTAAATACAATCAAAAAATCTTGTAGAAAATGCAATAAAGTAATAATTAGTAAGTAATTATTACTGATTTCATAGGAAAAAAACTGTCTTTTCAAGAGAAATTAGGCCTTTTCTATAATACCACCAATTTGGAGATCTCATCATGTTTTGTCCCTCTCTAATGCTTGAATCCAATTAAGTCCAATTTAATTCAGAGAAATATTCAATATAATTTAATTAATTCATTTGCTCACAGATGGTGCTAATCACTATAGTAAAAGAGTAACTATAGTAAATTCTCCAAAGTTGATCTTTCCAGATTCCCTTTCCCTTTCAAACTTGAAATGCATCTTGAAATTGCTGATTTTAAGTAAAGAAAAAACTTTCTATGTAAACTTCCCATTTATATATAATGTAGACAGCCTTACTCATATCTGCTTTGTGTGCATCAGCATCTAGTGCCTTTCATGCAGATCTGATATTTGTTGTTTGCTGCCTTCATGGTATAGCAATTTTGATGGCCAGCAGTAGTATTTAAAAATTACTAGAAATATGTGTGATGTGATGTTTATTACATTGCATGATGTAATCATTGAACTTGCTTTGTTATTTCCTGATAACCCCAACCAGCTTGTACTTAATTTAGTTTCCTTCCTATTGAATTAGTGTATTTCTTCTCTTTTATAATATAAATATGGATAAGACTGTATGAGAAAGTCTTTTAGGAAATGTAGAGGAGAAACCTTCACATGCTTGTTGTATTTGAGTTAAAAAAAATCAAGATAATAATTTAAATTACATGAAAATCATATGTATATGTAGCTAATTAGTGTACACACTACTGTCTTTGATTGGTTGGGTCAAAACATTTAACTGCTATATATCTAGACCTGTGGTTCTCAACCTTCTTTGCTCCATGCACCCCTTTCACCATTGCTAGACAATCAGTTCCCCTCTCCCATTCCCAAACTTCAAAATTGCATATACTTATCTTTAAATTTAGGTTATTTTTAGTATGTGTTATACATTAAACAAGAAATTATATAGAAAATATTAATAAGTATCAAAACATGAATAAAAGTAGTTTTTTATATTCATAAAATTAAATTAAATACTTGACAGATAAATAAAAAGCTCAGCATATTTACCCACTGAAACTATGAAATTCTCCCCCTCCCAGCTGTGGAACTTGTGGTCTAGACTTAAGGTTGCCTTTGTGGAGGATTTTCTAAGGAAACTGATTCATTTTCCCTTTACTCGTAGAGAAAACCATGTAAACATCCATGCAACCAGCAAGTTCACTAGCATTTAAACCTAAATCAAATTACTGCTAAGAAGAATAAGTAAATAAATAAAGATTGATTTCTCCCTCCCCCCTGAAGATTTATCAGAGAGCAAAATACACCAATACTCGTGATAATACTATATTTTCAAAAAATTTATTTTAAAAAATAGAGCAATCTTAATATTATAAATGAAGACCCAAAACTTTTGATGTTTTTGATTCATTAAAGTAGCAACTTGACCCAAGTTTAAAAACAAAAGTGACAATTTGACAGCTAAATATGTAATTCTAATCTGATTTCATCAAATCATCATGGAAATTGGGCTTTGAGGAATAATGCTCAATAATTTCTTTTATATCATTTCTAAGTGATAAACTTAATTTGGTTTGTGTTGTAATTTGCTTTAATTACTTTTTGAAACTTTAAGTAGAACTGATTTTAAGTAGTTAATTAAGATTTAAATTATTATTAAGTTAATAATGTATGTTTTCCCTCCCTTCTTTTAGAATTATGAAAATAGTATAGTTCAGAAATTTTTACCTTTTGCCAGTGCAACAGATGTTGCTTTTGGGTTAACATTCATCATTGTTGGTACATTCCTGGGATTAGTAAGTAACATCAAGTGACTATAATACACAAGTTGTAGTATGATACTTTTTAATGTTAATTGAATGTAGGCATTACATTTTATATTAATGTGATGTGTAGGGAGTGAAATTATAAAAGCAGAGTAAAATCATGTAATCATGAAAAATTTTAATGATTTTTAATATTGTGATAATGCAAGTAAATGGTAGATTTATCATTAGACCACATTCTGAAAATAGGAAATTTGAAACTTATTCTTATGTCATGGTTTAGATAAACATATTTTACTGTGATATTATAGTTATAGTATATATATATTGAATGATATATGCCTTTTAATATCACAGCCACTAAACAACTCCCCTTTTGAAAAATAATTGCATTTATCTAATCACTTGTAACACATGAAATCTTAAATATGTTGGACAAACCAAAAATAGTCTTAATATTAGAAATAACAACCACAGAGCACACATTAAAAAATTTGCAACTACTAAATTTAACACACTTAATACAGCTGAATTAGAACATTTTCAAATACATGATTTCAAAAAAATTAATATTCAAATTTTGGACATTGTGCCTGAATACAAAGTTAGATTATTTCAAGAGTACATGCTTAAATTACATGCTTAAATTTAAAACACTTTACCCTTATGGACTCAATACATTCAACCAATACATTAAATTAAATTCTGAAATTCCAACTTACAGCCATTTTAAATTATTCAGTAAAAACAATTACGAGGAACCAGAGCAGGTAATAAACAAAAAAATAAACTTCTTTCAACAATAGATACAAAAAAGTTAAACGATAATATTAATAATTACTTTCTTACTGAAAATTTCACTAAAAATATAATTACTTGGTTACATACGTGTAAGCACAATTTCTTAAAATTACTTATAAAATTTATAAAACAGCATTTTACAGGACACAATATTATCAAAGACCTTATTATTGACTTTTGCAATAATAAGTTCTCTACAAATAACAAATACAATAAATATTACTGCAAAATCAATTTCCTTCATCCTAACTATGATCATATTCAGTTTAGCAAAATTTTCAGAAAAAGTCAACAACTTTTTCCAACTACCAAAGTACAGATCTCACCAGCTTTCAAGTACTATCAAATACCTCTTAGTAAATTGCTAATTAACCACCATGAATCAGCTTCTGCAGCCCATTGATACTGCAAAGAGCTTCAACACAAAGATTTCATAGATAAATTTCATCAACATATTGTTACAGGCAATTTAGCAATAGTTCAAAACCAACATTTAAGAATTTTAATGGAAAAAGGTACCAAATTTAGACCTGTACTAAAAATTAACAACCTCACAGTTTTAATAGTTTCGTAAAAAACATAGACGAATTTATAGTTAAAACTAGTTTCAAATTAAATATTCCAAATTCTACCTTTATGGCTTGGAAACATGCAGTATTAGAAGAATTCAAGCAAAGAATTCGAAAAATTGAATTTAATAGCAATTTACAGTGGAATATTCTCATTCCTCTTTTACAGGATTTAAAACAAAAGTTCCTAATCACCAAAATTGACAAAGCCAATAATAATTTTAGCATAATATGAAAATTTTCTTATGTCTCATTAGTTAATACTGAACTAAATAATGCCATTACTTACAAACTCACCAATTTACAAGAAAATGTTATTGCAAAAAAACTAAAAGCATTTCATAAGAAACTGCAAATTTCACAACCATCTAGCTACAATAGATTAGCAAATCTATATGCTCTCCCAAAATTTCATAAATCACCACTCAAATTTAGATTTATTGCCAATGGTACAAATAATTATAAAAAGAATATAGATTACATATTTGCAATTATACTTAAAAAAACTGTAATTTAATCCAACAACTTGTTAACAAACAACACAATTATAGTTGGATTATTTATAATAATGCTCCAGTTCTCAGCAGTTTTAAAAGTTTAACAATCAAGAACATTAACATAATCAAGACTTTGAAAACCTTTATACTTCTTTACCATTAGAAGAAATTTTTAATAGTTTAATGCAACTCCCACAACTTTTTCCTGACATACTTGACATCCTTAGTATTGAAAGATGGAATAATTATCTGAAATGTGCATTATTTAATAACTACATTAAATTCAATAATAAGATCTTTCAGCAAGTTAGAGGAATTCCTATGGAAGTAAACAGTTCTACACAAATTTGTAACCTATTTCTTTTTACTTTTGAAATTAAATTCCAACTAAGTTTAAATAAAAATTAATTAAAGCTGTTTGCTCATACTTTTAGATACATAGATGATATTATAACTTTCAATAATAATTCTACTTTTGAGCAAATTCAAAATTTACCTAAATAGTTTGACACTTAATGAAACGAATACGAATCAAGATACTATTGAATACCTAGACCTGCAAATTATTAAACACAGCAAAATTAAATTATATGATAAAAGAAGGAATTTCCATTTTCATGCTATTAAACTAATTAATTGGAACTTTAATATCTCTAGAAAAGTAATAGAAAACACATTTCATAGCCAATAATCAGAATAAAAAATATATGTACTGAAATAGAGGATTTAAAGGAAGAAATAATAAAGCTAATTAATGTTCAAGTTGATAACCAAATACCACCAAAATTTATTAATTTATATATTAAAAAGGCAGGCATTAACTTTATAATTTTTTAGCTCTTTTTGGTATGATAACATTACCTTAAACCTTAGCTGGAGGGTAATGAAGGATAAAGAAGAGTAAAGAAATTATTTGTAAATTTTTATTTTAAATAAATTTGTAAATATGTATATTTAATCAATACTGGATTCTTTCCTTTTACTAATAAAGGGCCAACTCTTTTCAAAAGTCTCAATTATAGCCCGAATTGAGTGAAGATTTTAATCTTCTTTTTCTAATTTTCCATACTTTAGCCAGTATTTAGTTAAGTTTTGATTTACTAGTTAAAATCAAGTTCATTCAACTTTCAATTTTTTCTTTCTTTAAATTTAACTTCTTTAAGGAATTTTTTGGGAAATTACTGGGAATTTTTTTAGAGGTTTTTTTTTTTTTTAAAAAAAAGACTTTGTTTCACAAAATTTTGGGAAATTTTTTGACATTTTAAATTTTGCTTTTAAACTTAAATTTTAAAACATTTCATTTTTACTCATTACTTTAATTATTTGCCTTGCAATATTTACACAATTTTTCAACAGAACACACATTTCACATTGCAAACAGTTTACATTTATTAATTCACAATGCCACTTAACTCTATTTTACTTCAAGCAAACTTACCTCTCTTGTTTGGCTAAACTCCCTAAATAATTTATCGTTAAATTAAAACTTGAATTACATACCTTTAGGATTTTTAATTTTTTATTTATTTTTATATTTTTTAACATTAATGTTTGCAAAAAATTTTAATATAACAAAGATAGCAGCTTGACACTCAACTTTACCTACATAAGTGCCATCTATATAATTAATTTGAAGAACACACTTACTTCTTTTTCAAAACACTTTTGCAGACCACAACGCTCATTTAGTAGGTAAGTTAGAATTCAAACTTACTATTTACTTGCTTTAAGTATTTTTTTTTAAAAATTTTTATGTAGTATTTAAGTATTTTCTAGATATGAAATTTATTTTTAAGTATATATTTGTTTTTTTAAAAATTGTGAATTAGTTCTTTATGTTTCTTATTGGTTTATATGGATTATGTCTAGTTCTTTTTTAGTTTCTTTTTATTGATATGCGTATTCGTGTTGGGAGGTTTCTGTAGACAGGGGTTTCTAAAATACATTAGTTTCTAGATTATTTTTATAAGAAATTAATTTTTTTTAAATTTAATTTTAAAAAAGTTTAATTTAATACTTGACATTACTTGCTTGTTTCTCAAAAGACTTCATTAGTATTTTCCTTTTAGAACTTTTAGAACCTTTTAGAACTTTTCCTTTTAGAACTAATGCTAATTTCTAGGGTACCACTTTATTGGTATTTCTTTTTGGACATTCTTCACTTGTATTACTTTTGATTTTTACACTTGCCTTCATGAATGGACAAAACACGAATTGAATGATTGTAGAGTTAGGTTTGGAGGAAATTCCACTTGATAAGTCTGTCTCCTGCCTGCTCAACAGTCATTCACTTATGCATTTTTGCATTTTTAAAAAAATTGTTTGGATTAATTTTAATTTGCTAAATGAGTTAATTTATTTTCATGGATTGGTTTTGCACTTGATTTGCTTATGCTTCTGAATTTAAATGATATTGTAGATTAGTTCGAGAATCAAATCTTTTAAATGTTTACACATTTTTTTTTGCTTTAAATTTGCTTTTTTTAATTTTGGCTTTAAATTTGCTTTTTTACTTTTATACGTGTTTGTTAAAGTTTAAATTTTATTTGTTTAAATTTAAATTTTATTCCTTGCAGCAATGGTGCAAAGAATTATTTAATTAAATTTGTATTTAAATTTAATTAATTTATTTAAATTAAATTTATTTAATTAAATTCAATTTTTTCTTATGAAACAATATATTGAATGATCTATATTTACAATTAAGCACATCAGCAATAATATTTTTTTAAAAAATACTTTTCTTTCTTTGTGTTTTTCACTTTTGAAAACAGAATCAAATATAACAAGCAAATGGGCACTTTATTTGTGATAAAGATGATTCTTAAATGATCTGCATAAAAATACTGATAATTACTGAACACTTGCTTTAGAAACTGATTGTAAATCCATGTCATCTTGTTTTGTAAGCTCCATTCCATTGACAATAATATGTTTTCTTCTAAGATGCTGGCCATTAAAATGGATGCATCATAAAAGAAAGCAGTTAACAGAATCATATATATTCATTCAACCACATTTTGTGTTTCATATAACTATACAAACATCTGAATTTAATCTTCTGTGAGTAATGCCTCTGACTGTCTATCAGACATTTTTGCTGACCAGGAAACACTTTGTCATTCACCTCAGAATTGTTGAAACAAATCTCTGCACTTTCTTT